ATATATATAATGACACCACTTCTAGGCATTTACCATGAAGTGGTACAGAGAGGGTACTTGATGCAAATGCTTTTGTAACGTTGTAGATATCAGGAAATGTCAGGTTGTGCCTCCGTCACTTGTGCGACGAACGTGCACAGAAATATCCGAGATTATTTCTGGAGTAGCTTTCCGCAGAGGGCATTCTGGCTTGTCTCTGTTGCGAACGATACGTAGCTCCACCGGTAGTTGTCGTTTCCAAGTTTTCTATAACACCTTAGTGGCCCATAAAAACCCGAGGAGATGAAACGGAAAGCAAGTAGGAGGGTGCTTCATTGGCACCATCCGACGCGGTCGATTGTGTTCCTCTCTGGTGATGTATGCTCCGAGTGTACATACAACATTTTTGTATAGGTATCCTGTTTTTACACTCCAACATTCATGGATGCGTGAAAGTTCACGAAGGTTATCTTCTGGGTTCACAGTCAAAAAAATGGTTTCCATCAGGGCTAACCTTTGTCACCGCTCCTCTTCAACTTAGTTAGCTGTAACTTCCTTTCGTCGTCTAGCTAACATGGTACTCGAAGGAAGCCCCCTCTACTGGGATACTGCTAAGTTGTCCAAACAGTCGAGATGCCGGGATTGGGTTCGAATCACGAACTCAGTAACCACCGACCTTCCTCGAGCAAATTAATTATCGAGGAAAATTTCATCGCGCAGGACTTCTACCCGAGGAAGACATTAGAGTACGTAAACGACATCGTAGTACTTGGTTCAGATCCCCTCGAGAAACAAAATACACTAAGCCATCTAGATTAGGTTGCCATGCATTTTGGCACATATTTTGTACCTTCAAATAGCAACGTACTGTTACCATACCGCACGCGGACCCATTTGCCAAAGTTTATTGGTGCTATATGGAACGAAGGAAGGTTCCTGCAGAACGGGGACATGTCGACAGTTATCCCTATCTTCAAAAAGGGTACGTGGACGCTGTGCGAAAATCACCCACCGATCAGCCTGTTAGCTATGGCATCGAAGGTGCTCTCGGGTATTATCCTTCGAAGGTTGACTGAACACAGGGAGAGGCGGATCCGTGAAAACCAAGCTGGGTTCCTTCCTGCAAGATTCTGGAACAGCGACACTGCTTCCAGCAACCAACAATGGTTGTGTTCCTCGATCTGAAAGCTGCCTTTGACTCCGTGGACCGCCAAGCACTATGGCAGTGTCTGTGGAGCAAAGGTGTCCCCCATAAATTCTTGAACCTCATTAAGGCGCTGTACACCAACTCCCGCGGCCGTGTAAATGTCTACGGGAAGCTCTCTCCTGAGGTCACCACATTCAATGGTGTCCGACAGGACTGTCCTTTTTCACCTTTCCTCTTCAACTTCGTAATTGATGCGCTCATGGAAGACTCATTATCAGGCTCTAATGCCTGTGGGGTCGAAGTGCTCCCTAAGCCTTCGCTCACAGACATCGAGTGCGCAGAAGACATAGCTCTTCTTGGATTTGACCCCGTGGTAATGCAAAAAATATCAAATAATCTAAATAATCCCGCCTCACGGTTTGGCATGCGTTTCACACCTGCAGTGTAAAGTGCTACTGCAAGACTGGGCGGGCTCGAACCCCAGTCCCATGCTTGCGGATGAACCTGTTGAGGTAGTAGGCGAATTTGTTTACCTGGGCAGCTGTATTAGTCCCGGTGGTGTGAAAGATGATATATCCAATTGGGAAGGCAAGAGGGGCTTTTGTGAACATGCGGCGTAGGCGTGACATCAAATTATCCGTCAAGGGTCGAGTTTACAATACTGCGGCGTGATCCATATTACTATATGGATCAGAAACCTGGCCGCTTGCGCCGAGGACGTAAAAGACATTCAATGTTTGACAATCGATGCCTTGGAAGCATTGACCGAGTCTTGTGGCAGTACCGGAGCAGCAATGCTGAAGTACATCGAATGGTATCCGGAAGAAATAACCCACCCTCGGTAGATGAACTGATCACACTGCATGGGTTGCATTGGCTTGGCAACGTGCTGCGTACGGTAGTCGACCGACTCCCTCGAAGGGTTCTTTTCTGACAACCGCGTAAGGGTGGAAACGAGTCAGAGGCGGTCAAGCAATGACATGGCAGCGAAGTATATGTCATTACCAGCTAACCCAGCTGCGCTGATCAATGCCGTCTGTCTGGATGGGGACCCCGAAACGGGCCACATCAATGGTTAGAGATATTGTTAGACATGGTCCAGTCACGTATTCAATGGCGCCTATGCATCCAACTTATTGCCTTCAATGCATAAATCCTTTCCCAATTCCCCCACTTACCAGTCCACTGAGAGTGCTGTATTAAGACACCAATTCATCGGCACCGGATGGTTTTCACATGACGTACTTGTTTCCTTTTTGAAAACTGGGATGATGGTCGGGGAGCTCTGTTCGGGTGGTATTCTGTTTTCGTCCCAAATCTGCAGTGTGGTTTTCAGATCGTTCACCAGGACCTCGCCACCTTTAAAGAGCGCGGAATGTAGACCATCCGGGCCAGGTGCCTTATTGCGCTTCAGGATTGAAATCTCACGCTGGATTTCGGTTGCTGATGGTGAGTAGGTGTCAATGTCCCATTCGGGCCCTCTTGGTTCTTCCAGCGGCTGTAGCCTCGGATGTCCATAAGGCTAACTAACTGAACATGAGTGGGTCGTTCGAAAAAGACGCACACTAGCAAGTGGTCCGCTACTCTGGCTACCTGGCTGTCATAAGGAGGCTGGACCTTACTGTGGTGTAACGGTTTGTGTACCTTCGCGACCCATCGAGTTATTATGGGGATGCCAGTGCGACGCTTACAGAGTCTATCAGGCCAGGCTGATTTATGTCTAGAGGTCTGAACAAAACAGTCTCTTGTTCCTCCAGACAAGGGGTTGAAATATATATGGCGACTTTTGTAAAAATCGAGATGTAGTTGCACTTTCCGCCAAACACCGCGGCAGTGCGGTCAGGCTTTTGAGCCACAGGTTTTAGTCGAGGAACCTAGTCGTCATCCTGTCTAGGTGTGGGCACCATGGCAGTATCCTGGCCCACACACAACCATGACAACATGCTCATTCAAATATATTAAATACTGTTTTCTTAACCTTTGCAAGTGATTGACTTGAAAATACTCTGCCGAAAACATGTTCGTCAACCCATATATGTTCTTATTGTAAGAATTTTCGGAATATTACGTACACTTACAATTAACAGTACTCTGAAGGCACATCGGCCGTTGCATGGTGCCATCAGCCGGGTCGCCTTACTTGCTGCATACAGCAGGGCGGGTGAGTGAGGACAAGCTACTGTTGATGTCTTCCTTCTTATTCCTTCACATACTTTCTCTCCACCCTCCCCACTCCATTAATAACCCTCTCCTTGTAGGCCCAGCAGTTAGGACTGATGACTCCGTTCAACCTGTAGGGGTTTTACAAGCAACATCTGTACGTCAATGAGAGTCGACATCCTCAGACATTTCGAAATCACTCCTCAAGTCTCGATGCCATCAACCTGGGTGCTTTCAATATTCGCACTCTGAAGAAAGCAGAAGAACAAGTTTCTGTTGCTCTAAGAATGAACTAGCTTGATAATAATATATCGGAAACAAGACGTCAAGCTAACCGCCCCATCACTCTCCGCTAGCATCCGGCTATGTACCTCTAGCAATCCACAGGAAGATGCCGCAGGATATGCAAGGGTTGGTATCATCCCAAGTCACCGGGCAGAAGGGTATTGGTGTTGGCTTAACTAGACGGTTGCTGATAGTCGCCTGTGCGTAGTTCTGTGAAGAAGTCTCACAAGCAAGATGTTGATCGATATCAGTCTGTCATGTCTGATCACGCCCCAATTGACTGTAGCTCTGACACCATCTAAGGTAAGTCTTATGGAGCCCTGGACGCCATTTGTGGTTAGCTAAAAGCACAGACATTGTTGTAATTGTCAGATATCTGAATGCACAAGTGGGGAGGCTTAGCCTATCTGAGACTCAATTAGGTAGTTGACATAGACTGGACTCGGTACGTACGGACGATGGCGAACGACTGGTTCCGTTATTCGCTAAGAGCAATCTGTTTTTTATGTACTAAATTTCGACCACATGGTACCCTCCAAAGGTGTTCTGGTTGATCACATTGCCATCAGTTACCTATGGCGCGGATCAATAACTGACTGCCGGGCGTCTTGAAACACATCTGTGGATTCCGACCACGCACTCATCCGGAATCACTCTCCCTTCATTTATCAGTACCGCGCAAGGTGCAAAAGGTCGATTGGAAACTGAGAAACTGGCAGGTCCCATTGTTAGACGAATTTACCAGAATCATCTTCTGGAGTATTCCAACTGCTGCACACTCAGATGTGAATTCATGCTGCCAGAATCAAGAATATGTTCTAAACGGTCACTTCCTTTTAAATCAAAAAGCAGAACAAAAAATATAATTATTCGATATAAACCAATTTTAACCCAAGAAGTTAAAAACAACGAGATGTAGGACCACATGGGCAAATATAAAATCCCCATAAGCAGTTTCCGGGCTGAAGGGAGTGAACACATTTTTATTCTGTGGGTTGGTATGCATTCGAAGCGCCACACCAAGTACAAATGACGCCACACACGATATGAATCCAGACAAGAAGGCGTTAAACGGGAAGGTTCCAACAAGACAGCAGTAAATGAACTGAAGTATGCCAGTTACCAGGATATATACCAGATATGAGTCCAGAAGCTGTAGACGCCGGGGGGTCGTAGATTTGTATGATTGCAAGAAGTCACTTAGTATCACACCTGCGGATACTGCATCCTTGGCGGTCTTTGTTGACGCGGTACGAGGATCGGCCCCCTTCGAAGGTGCATGTTTACCACCTGCCATCGTTGAGGCACCAAAATTTGAGTCTCGCGGCGGTTACGTCACATCCAACACTACACATTTAGTCCAGGTGTAGAACAGGTCAAGTGGTCCACGGGACTAAATGGGTATATGCATAAGTAGGATCCTTGAGGTCCGTTTGTTGGAATCATTAGAAGCATTTCATGCACCTTTTAGTTTCATAGGGAGTAGCTTAAAGCAAGGTGCCCACATTTCTACCTGGTGTCTCGCTAGTCGATCGATGAATGAAGAATTTCATTTATATGGAGAAGCGCGATTATCACACCACTCTACAAAACCGATGAGCCTCTGTCGTCCAGAGACTACGGGTCTATCAGCCTCACTAGCATACTGTCCAGGGTGATGGACGCATACTGTATCTGGTCATATAAATCACCTCGTTGCCAGTAATTTCACATCCCTTGCTCAACACAGATCCCTCCAAAACACTACTTCGCAGATTCATTGATTGATACACAGGATCGAAGTTTTCGCCCAGTTTTTCCGGATCAGTTTTGCTTCAGTCCTTCAGCTGCTTCCTACCCCCGAAAGGTACAAGCGAAACAGAACATAATAACGCTTTTCAAGTCCCCAGCGTGGGACATCGATCTCGGCAGCGCGAGGCTCAACTAAAAAGGCATCTGAAAGTGCTTTGAGCTGAGTACTTGAAGCGGCATAAAGAAACGTTGGAAGAAGGTGTTTCTATGCAATAACTACCCAGCTTGAGATAAACGGCTGCCTAATAAATGTGTGCGCCCTCAACCTGGCGACTTTGTAAATATGTCAAAGCTGTGTTTTAGTTAGGTGAAAGAGATGTTAGCAAACCTTTGTTCAAACGGTGCGTAAAAAGTATTAAGTCTCCTCGTATGCGACGATGCTCTATGTCATATAGGACAGGCACTGCAAGACGCGTTTCGTAGTCAACGGAATTCAGATCAGCAACTATTTTCGTAGCAGTTCGTTGGACACGTTCAACGGGAAATACGTCCTGTTGCGTCCTCAGTAGACAACTCGGTGGGCGTATTCCGGGAGCAGTCTGATGTAGGCCAGATAAAATATCTATAAATGGGGCGTCAAATCACCGTATAACGGCGAATACCTTCTGGGCGAATTTTTTCATACTACAGTGAGAGGGGCATGCTGGGAGTGGGCCAGATACCTAGCTCCTTTTCCCCCTGTATCTATTCATA